ATTTCAAAAATGGAACACCAGAGGTTGAATGGTTAAAATGTGTTTTCTTACATCTTGTTTCATAGTAGAATCCCTTTAGAAGCTTCTACCTATGACAGTCATCCTGTTTACTATTATATTTATCTGAACATACTTATAGAGAGTATATTTTAGAATGAAAGGTCCAGGTTTTATGTATTATGTCTTTGCTAAAAAGCACAAATGCTTACATTTCCTTTGTAGAAAACCTCTATAAAATAGCAACCATTCATAAAAACTTGTTTGAAAAATTCAAGTGTGTTTTCTAAAGTGCTATCCAAGTTCTTATTCCTATGCAGTGGTCCGTGTTGAGATCCACACAGAAATCATTAATGTGAAGTTTTGTAGAGAAATCTACCCAACTCTGTCTGTCATGTTATTTTTTCTTTCCCTGAAGAACTGGCACCACATTAAACTCCATTGTTGATAATTTGAGAATACTAACCAAATTATTATTCTGAATGATTATATAGTTAAGTTACAGATTTTATTATATTTTACTTTTTATTTTGATTTTTTCTTTTACTGTCTTGCACACTCCCAACTAAAAAGTGCTCATAGCTTAGCCACTAGTGGCAAAATGGCTCAAAGTAGTTCTAGTTATTAGAAAAGAAATGTAGCTGGATTTGATAGTTTCTTACTCATGGGAGAGTCAACTTTATGTGAATAGATAGTCTGCTTTTGATCTGATACGTGATGGCACAAGGAAAAAAATCCCTCTTGGATGGCATTTCTGATATTTCTATGCAATGTCTGACATTTTGCCAAGAGCTTTACATATTGACTGATTTATGTGTATGTTTAATTCAAGTTTATATAAATTAATTGGGCCTTTGAATTTTTTAAAGGCCTTGTTTTATTGCAGCACAGTGTTTGTTAACAGTGCATATCTTAAAATGGGATGATTCAAGGAGCACTTTATGATGAATTTGCCTAATGAAATACTTCAGCAAATTGGGCAAATGTGATTATCAGGAGACAACTTCACTGAGGCCCATAAAAGAGTTTAATTCCAAAGAAAAATTGTAGTTCTTACAGTTAATGGTTTGAATTATTGTGTTTTTATTTTTCAGCCTGAGTTTATACTTGAGGGTTAGAAACAAAAATTTTAGCCTCTGTGAATTCTATAATGATATACTAAATAATTGTTATACAACAAGATACCATTTTTTCCCCACTATCACAGTGTCATCCTTTATTTTTCTAGTGTTTTTTTTTTTTTTTTCATAGATTATAACTTGGAAATGGTTGACTTAAGATATTTCTGTTGCTGTGACAGGGTCTTGTTAAGTTACTAGGGCTGGCCTCAGACTGAGTTTTCCTGCCTCAAGCCTCCAGACTAGTTGGGATTACAAGGACACACCATTTTGTTCAGTCAGAATTTTTATTTTAAAGAAATAAAATTAATTTTAGTTTTGTTTTTTTCCTCCCCCTGCTTAACTTGGTATGAAGTTTGCCTACTTTGGTAGGTAAAACAATAAAAAACATTGCCAAGGGAAAATTTTTGACTTTGTGTGGAAGGCTTCCTCCCTTTCTCCTTTCCTTCCTTCTTTCCTTCTCTTTTTCCTCCTCCTCCTCATCTTTTGCTTCCTGCTCTTACACTTATTCCTTGTTTTTCTGATGCAACTAGAAAAAAGGCAGCTTTAGGAGTCTTCAGATTAGCTTCATCTAGGAAATTTTATCAATGCAAAATCTGACTAGAATGCAGAATGGAATTTCTTCTGGCTTGATTGTGTCCTTGGACAAAATATTTGAGACTCCTTTATAATATGATGAGTTAAATTACCTAAATAACGCTTTATTTTTAAAACCTGTTCACAGATTATCCTGTTTTAAAGAGGAATGCTTTTGGTAATGTTTTTTCAAACCAGGAAAATACCTTTATATTACTTTGTTATTTTTGTAAAATAAGAATGCTAATCTCACTTAAAGGTTAGGATAGAATACAGAGATCATTTGACAGTCTCGGTTGTACTTACTATAAGTTTGACTGTGCTTACTAATGTGCTTTAGTTGCAGGAGTTTGTTTTGCAGTTCCCTGAGGGCAGCCTGTGTGCCTCTGGTTCACTTTACTAACCCAGCAGAACTAGTATTTGGCCCTAAGGACAGCAGAAAATATTTATTAAGTTGAAATTTAGTGTAGGAGTAGTTCTTATTTCTTTTTAGTGTGTATGTGTGCATATTACCTAAGTTTAGTTCATACCATAGTTGTATTTCACAGACATCTTGACTCTTGTCACTTAAAAAGCCTATGAAGAAGGCAGTGTCATTTGTCCACTCCCCCTACATTGGCAAATGTTATTGACTTAAGAAAAGAAAAAAAATCGTATGCTGAGCTTGCTAAGATCTATGATACAGTAAGATACTTTGAGAAAGCACATTCATGTCAATTTTAATTGTTATAATTATTCTATTTTATTGTTAATCTCTGAGTTTCCTGATTTATAAATTAAACTTTATCACAGTAGACACATCTTAGCTGAATCTTGTTCTCCCAGGTTTTGAAACGAGTGAACCCCTTGAATCCAGAGATTATCATAAGTAAACCATACCGCAGTGAGAACAAAAAAGATAGAGATATGAAACAGCCTATTGAATTTTGGAAATAACAGGTAGCCAACGTGATTAAACTAGAAATAAGGTGGTTTTTATGTTGTAAAAAGGCAAGGAAAGATTAATGAAGATGGAAGGAGATTAGGAGTAGACCTGAGTATCAGAAAGACACAGCAGGTGATAGAAGAGCACATCAATTGGAGTGGTATGAGGCTGGAGGCAAGGAGGTGGTGGGAAAGTTGGAATGATCCAGGCAGGCAACGGTGGCGCAGAGTGTCTGGGTGTGTAGCTCTGTCCAAGAGCAGTGGCCTGGTATGAGTGAGGCCATGGATTCAAACCCCACCTTTGGCATTGGTATAATCCTGATACAGAAATAATAGTGTTAATTGTTTTTGAGACAAAAGAATAGATGCTGGAAAAACACAAATTTTCAGGTTAATAATACCTTGAGGTCCAAGTTGAGGAATAACTGAGGTTAAGGAACTTGCTCAAAGTCATGCATCTGGTAAGCGATAGCCATGACTGGAATTCAGGATCTCAGACTTCAGCTCAGTGATATTTACACCATATAATCTCACTTATGCTAACAGAAAAGTTAATGACAGTCTTCAGATGAACTGCTGGTGGATTAAAGAGAAAGAATTTGGTGGTGCGGTAGGGGTACTATTTGGAAAACTCTGGGTTATAACAATAAAATGACTTCCTTGGTCTGAAAACCCTAAGTGATTATCTATTGATGTATTAGGGTCTGGGTGCATTGGTGATAGCTACACAAATCTTTATTTTTGAGGCAGTCATAATTTTGAGCTGCTTTAGGGAAAGATACTTACAAAGCAGTAAAATCCTGTCTGAATGTGTCAGTCCCTTTTCACTGCCTAGATGTGCTTGTGGAAAATGTCTCTGTAGGACCTTTAATTTTGTCCCTAAATTTATAACAGAGCTACTTCTTGATGCTATCCATTGCTCAGGGTACTTTTGGTGATAAGATTGTTATTGAGTTGGGTAGGTGAGCTGTAGACCATATCCTCCAGGGAATCATTTATTGTTTTGTACAAGAATAGGTAGTGCTGAGGAGTCATGTCTCATTTTGGGCATCAACTGGTCTCTCACTTTAAAATCTGACACTGGCACTGCTTTTTTTTGATTTAAACAAAAAAACCAACTAATGCTTATATGAACATGAAAAAGATAACTTAAAAACAAATTTTTTAAGACTTTGGCTCTATTTTATTTGCTGTATGAAAAACAAAAGCAAAGAACACTATAGTCATACTATATACGTTGTGCTCAAATGATTAGGCATTCTGGCCTAATGTCAGTTCCTATAATTCTTTCCCCTAGAAAAATGTCTTTCTTTTGTGCCCTTACATCAATTTGCAGTTGAAAATGTTGGAACAAGATAGGGTTTGAAATATATAGTAGCTTCATAGCTAAGAAATTTGCTGAGAAGTAAAATAAAAGCTTTTATTGAAACACTGAGGCAGAAGAATAGTTGAGAAAATGGAAATCATAGACTGTAAATGAATGCCTTGTAAGAAATATTAAGGGATCTATTTAGACACAACATTGGTAGTGGTAATAATAATGCATCTGTTGGACATTGATAATGTACCAGGCACTGTGTTTAACTGTGTTGTTACTACTCGTGTCGTAGGTTATAATGTTTTAAAACCCTATTTTACAACGGAAGAATCTTGAGATTTAGTTGAAATAGTTTTCCCAAGGTTGCAAAGCTAAACTATGTGACAGTTGAGATTTTTAACCATTATGCTAAACCAATATGCTCTTACTTCTAGTTGTATTGTCTTCAGATAAATAAAATTTATCTCATTTTCTATTACTTATTTTTTTTTTAGCTTGAAAGCATCTTTGAGAGGTGACTTACCAGGACAAGAATCAGCAACTTTCTCCCTTATATTTTCTCCCCTTCCACATCTATCACAACAAATGTGATTGGTGGGATTTTTTGACAACCGGTCAAACTAACTAACTTCATCAGTCCCCCATTTCTTCTTTCGTGGTATTTATTTATTTATTTATTTTTATTTTTATTTTCTATTTTTATTGCACCTCGCTCCTTTATTACACTGATCTGGAAAAAAGACTGACTTACAGTTACACTCAAAATGAGTACTGGCCCCATGTGGCAGGGCTAAGCCAACTGGAACATGATTCAAAAATCAGACATTATGAGATGCACTTAGACATGGTCAAGAGGCATTTTCACTGCCACCAAAACAAGGCGGAGGAATCGTAAGATACACAGCAGGATACATTCCTACCCAATAGAGGCCAGAGCTTACCCTGTACTGGTGTGAGGAATGGCTTATTTCATGTGGAACTATTCAACCACCACTAGAAGCTCCAGAAGGGTTTTTGTTTAGATACATAATTTTTCTTTTGTAGAAAAATTTAACACATGAACTTAATTCAGGATTAATCCCAACCTTCTGGAGCCAGCTCCTCTAGGGTGAGGGAGGAAATTGCTTTTTAGTCACCATGCAGGTTGCATTCATCTCCCACTGGAATGATGAGCTCGCTGACCGTGACTGACTATAGAAGAGTGCAGGGCTGGCTCCTGGAAGCACAGTGTGCTCGGGCCTCTCCTCATTGGTCATGCCTTGGCATGGTTATCCCTGTCCCCTATCAAACAGGTCCTTAGTAAACAAAGCAGAAGCACTAGGAAAAACAGAGTTACTACCTCCCAACTCTCCTGGATAAGAAGAGCTTTCCCTGGGCTTGGACTGAGCACTCGTGTCCTAGAGGTACTATTCTGACTAGATTCTATCAAGGGAGCGGGTGCAGGAGCAAAAACGCTAAAATGAAAATGGGAGCCACTGGTCCCCCATCTGCAGCTACAACAAAGGATGCCTACAGATGCGGTCAGTGTGATAGGTGTGTGGAGAGATGCGGACGAATGGGTGGGCAGGGGAGTAGTGCCTGGTGGTCTTCACTTCTTGGCCTTTCCCTGGGCAGCCACAGCTTCAATGGCTTTGCGCACGGTCTCTTCATCCCCGAGGAACTGCATGGGCTTGATGGGCTTTAAGTTTTTATCCAACTCAAAGACAATAGGAATACCAGTTGGCAGGTTCAGCTCCATGATAGCTTCTTCAGAGAGACCTTCCAGATACTTGACTATACCCCGGAGGCTGTTGCCATGGGCTGCAATCAGGACCCTTTTCCCCTCCTTGATCTGGGGAACAATTTCTTCATTCCAGAAGGGCAGAGCTCTGGCAATAGTGTCTTTCAGACTCTCACAGGAAGGCAGCTGATCTTCAGTGAGGTCTGCTTACCTACGATCCTTGCTGATGTTGCTATAGAAGGGATGGTCAGGCTCCATTGAAGGTGGTGGGACATCATAGGAGTGCCTCCAAACCTTCACCTGAGCCTCACCATGCTTGGCATCAGTTTCTGTTTTATTAAGGTCAGTCAGACCTCCATAGTGCCGCTCATTGAGACGCCAAGTTCTCACCACTGGCAGCCACATCTGGTAAATGGCATCCAGTACTGTCCAAAGGGTCCGGATTGCTCTTTTCTGCACTGAGGTGAAGCAGATGTCAAATTCATAGCCAGCATCTCGCAGCACCTGCCCTCCGCGCTTTGCCTCTTCATGGCCCGCTGGGCTCAGGTTGGCATCGTACCAGCCGCTGAAGCAGTTCTCTAGGTTCCAGGCGCTCTCGCCGTGCCGGATCAGCACCAGCTTATAAGTGGCCATGGTGAAGGGTTAGGGATGCGGCGTAGACTGAAGGTGACTGAGATTCTGGTGGCAATCCGCCCCTTTCATGGTATTTATTATAAATTGCCAAAAAAGGATTAATTTGCCCTTTTGGGGTTTTTTTCTTTACTAATAATATCCATTACATATGTAGTGATACCTAATGGTTGATGTGTCATTCACTTATATCTTCATATATATACAGGAACTCTTTAACTACAGGTTGACATGTCTTTTCAATTGAGGGCCATATAGTAAATATTTTAGATTTTGTAAGTCAAGAAACAAAATCAAGGATATTATCTAGATCCTTATATAACAAGAAAGAAACTAAATTTTAATTTTTTTTTTTTTTTTTTTTTTTTTTTTTTTTTTTTTGGGAACCGAACTCATGACCTTGCGCTTGCCAGGCAGGCGCTTTTGCCGCTGAGCTAAATCCCCAGCCCCTTCATTTTCTTTTAAATTAGCTATGT